GCCACGCACCGCCAGCCCCAGGCAGTCGGTGGACAGGTCTGCGAGGGTCCCCGTGTGCCCAGGGAGTGCTCTCCCCAGCAGCGGCTCAGAGACCACAGTGGATGAAGCTGGGTGACAGTGGGGTGTGTTGTGGCGGTCCCTCCACGGTGATACGTTTGGAAATCTCCACGAGACAGGACAGGTTACCCCGATTCAGCTGAAGATCGTGCCGTGGGAAGCCGCCGTCCTGACGTTTCTCCTGTATGAACAGGAGAGACTTAAGTGCCACCCTGATGTGATGACACACTTCAGAGCCTGCACTCAGAAGCAGTGACGGCACGCTCAGCGTGCAGAGTGACACCAAGCGTCAGGTGCACAACGCCAAGTTCCCTGCTGCCCTTCCAATTCCTACAGAGCAACATGCAACAAAATTGCATTAGGGCAGCATTTAATTGTTTTAATGAAAATACAGAAGCAAAAAAATACAAAACAGGTTTGAGATGACCATTCTGAGGACAGGGTGGAAACAGCGACTATCAATTTAGAACAGGTGGCCAGGCGGCCGCCCTGCGAGTTCCAAAAGATAAGGGGTTGGGGTGGGGCAAGGACGCCCCGGCTGGTGACAGGATGGATTTGTGCAAAAGTATGTAGGTTCTCCTCTCCCAGAGTTGAAAATAAGGGCCACAGACAGAGCTCACTGTAAATCTGAGAGTCATCCATGTTTCTCAAACAACATAGCCGTTGTCAAAACAACACCTGCATGTGGGTTCAGAATAGAGCTTGTCGACCAAATGGCAGGCACTGAGGGCTGGGGGTGACCATAGGGTACACCACCTGGGTTCTGCCACGGGGGTCACACAGCGCACAGTGGCCATCTTTAACCGGGGCATAGTTCCCCTCACACGTCTAACTTGGCCTTCTGTCCACACCAAGGCTGGATTAGACACATGGGAAGGGAACTGGGTCCATTTTCACAAAGACTTCGTTGCCTTTAACATAAAACGTGTAAGACTCTCTCAAACGTCCAGTCTCACTGCTCTCCAGTGAGATAGTGTATGGAAATAAGCAAACCAGGACAACCCGTGGCCTTGGCCTTGGCCATTACCTTAGCAAAACTGTCCTCGGAGTCTCTAGTCTGCAGGTCCCAGGTCACCCTGTGCTCATGTGTGGAGGGGCTGGTGGACCCAGAAGTGGACGGTGCTCAGAGGCCACGTGCCTTGCCGCCTGTAATCTATAGCACGGTGCACAGAGCCATGATTCTGTAGCCACGTCCAAAGGCAAGCTTCTGTCTCGAGTCCTAGTCCCAATAAATGCCTTTCTTTTCCCAAATAAGAAACCTTAATCCAAGTGACCAAAGCCATTCACTCCCATCTGCTTTGCAAAAACCCCCATGTTCAGAAAGTCCACAGCAGGGTGTCCTTACACGTTCACGCCATCAGGGTCACAGAGTACCCGATATTCTCGAGTTGTACGTGCGTGAAGGCACATTCCAGCATCAAGTGTGAAAAGAGGAGAGACACCCTGTCTGTGGCAGCCCTGGCCTTACCTCCCCACAGCAGGGCGGGCCCCACCTTTGTCAGCAGGGCAGGCTCCTGGCACCACAACTTTAGGTCTCCAAGTGGCTTCATTTCTCATTGGAAAAGAAAAAAGCACACCAGAAAGGTGGCTGGGGACAAGCGTGCAGAGCCCCGTCCTGAAGGGCTAAAGGAGAGCCCGCGTCCACGGCAGGTCAGAGGGGAGCCAGCGCGGCCTTCACGAGGGTCAGGAAGACGGGGATGACGAGGGCCAATGGGGGCCACTCAGCTCCCCTGGTTTCCAGTCGTTCATCAGCTGCCGACGGGCTGAACTGCTTAGTAACACGCCGTCCCGTCTTCCGAGCTGGCAAGGTTTCACGCACGCGACAAACCCCGCCTGTGCCCCGACGGTCTGTGGGTCACTCCTGTGTACCCGACTTCCTGCTGCCATCCACCTTGTACCTTCTGGTTACGAGAGTGCCGCGCTCGTCAGCTACGTAGCACCTCATACACTACCCCAGGGGCAGTCAGGGAGCTTTTCCAGAAATAATGCTGTCTAATTTTGTCTTCTGGTTTCCACTGCACCTAACCTGCTCAGCACTGAAGAGTAATGCCGCTTCCATTCCAGCGTGTTTTTACCTCCAACCTCAGGGGAAATACCCACAGGATGGTTGCATCTGAGGATGGCGGCTGAGACAGGTGACATAGTGTCTAGGGTGGAGGGCAGGACGCCCCTCCTCTGCACTCGGCCTCACAGGACCAGTCTGGAGGCTAGGACGCCCTATAGTGACCTCCGGTTTCATCTTGCACCAGTCATCATCCTGATAAGACTAACACTGTCAAAGCCTTATCCACGGGTAACAGAAGCAGAGGACTTGGAAAAATGTCACCGGACTCCAGGTGTAGGTACAACAGGTCAGGAAGTGCAGGACAGGAGTGTGCTACGGGACCTGCTGCAAACACACGCGTGCTAGCAAGCTGGAGGGCACGCGCCTCCACTGACTCCGCGTGTCCACTCAGCGCCAGCAAGCTGCAGTTCCACACCACCCACTCCTGGTCACCAGGGCACCTCCAGACACCCCAGTCAGCGGGTCAGGTCTTCTCTCCACAAGGCCTGGTCCCAGGATGCTGGTTTGCCTCAGCTGTCTGCTGGGGGGCTGAATCACGTGCCCGCAGCAGCCATACAACAGGGCCGTGCTGACACCTGCGGCAAGCGCCAGGGGGGCCGCCCACCACATCCTCTGGCCACTCTAAAGGCCCAGCGGTTCTAGAAGCCTCATCATGGCTTCTAGCACCATCTTGGAAAGGCTGCCATGCCCAGGGGCTCCCTGCGGTGAACCGTTCGAGTGGTAAAGTGCCACACACAGGGCTTCTTAGTACCCCCTGCACTCAGTGGGGGCAAGCACATGGTGAGGGGACATGAGACAGACGGATGCTGTGACATGCCTGAGCGCTGTCCACTGCAGCCCTCCACACAGCCTCATACCTGAAGCATGGGCCACCACGGGCCAGGTCCCAGAGTGCGTCACCATCACTGCCACCACCACAGGAGAAAGCCACCCCTGGAGCCCAGCAGGTTTGTTCAGTAAGATGTCCTCACAGCCCGTTTTTGTCACACTTGAAACCAGAGAAGCCTTTATTTCCAGCAACGCTGCCCACAACAGATGGGCCTGGACCCACTGTGAGCACTCGCACGCAGCACCGAAATAGACAGGAAAAATAACCACACACAGCCCGTCCTCTCACACACGCCTCCCCGGAAGCTGCACACCCAAAACCAAAGGGAGGAAGAGCAATGCCAGACCCTCACACAAAAGAAGTCTCTGAATTAGGATTTACAAATTTATATATTTTCCCCGTGAAAAACCACCAACCAGCCGAGGGGGTGAGGAAACGCTTTCAGGTGGCAGCCCGTCAAGCGTGCCCGACGAGCGTGTCGCCTGCCTCCAGCAAACAGCAGAGGTCCATGCTCCTCACGCGCTCGGAGTGGGCAGCCGGCGGGAAGCTGCTGTCCCCTCGGACATGGCACTCGGCACTCACGAGGCCTTCGGCAGCCGGAGCCCAAGGGTCGCCCGCGACAAAGGCCATAGTCTCTCACTGCGAGCTTCCCAGTCCTGAAGGGCCGTTCTCCCATCAGAAAGGATGCCGATTCCCAAGAGTGAAGGGGGAGGGACTCTACTGCAGTTGACTCTCCCTGCCACGGGCGCCAGGCCATGGTCCTGGGTGGTGGTGGGTCCCTCACACAGGCTCTACTTGGGCTCCTCGATCACGCCCTTGCTGAGGTCCGTCATTTTAGGGTATTTCACTTTCTTCTGGTCCAGCTCATTCTGAGCCCAAAGTAGTAGTTTCAGTAATTTTGCTAGCTTGGGCGTGGACTCACGATTTTCGTAATCCAGGACAGCCTGGTTAACTTCGCTCCACACCTGCAAGACAAGGGCATCCACGGAGAACGCTGCGTGGTGAGGCAGCAGACGCAGGGCAGCAGCGAGAAACAAACTCGCATCCGTACCTTTTGGGGAACACCCAACGTGAGCTGCAGCGTTGTCTCTCTCTCTCTCACACACACACACACACACACACACAACGCATGGCTGCCAGGCAAGTTGTCTCTCTCTCTCTCACACACACACAAACGCACGACTGCCAGGCACGTTGTCTCTCTCTCTCTCACACACACACACACACTAAACGCACGGCTGCCAGGCACGTTGTCTCTCTCTCTCACACACACACACACACACAAACAAACGCACGGCTGCCAGGCATGTTGTCTCTCTCTCTCTCACACACACACACACACACACAACACACGGCTGCCAGGCACGTTGTCTCTCACACACACACACACAACGCACGGCTGCCAGGCACGTTGTCTCTCTCTCTCTCACACACACACACACACACAAATGCACGGCTGCCAGGCACGTTGTGTCTCTCTCTCTCTCACACACACACACACACAAACACACGGCTGCCAGGCATGTTGTCTCTCTCTCTCTCTCTCTCACACACACACACACACACAAACGCACGGCTGCCAGGCACGTTCTCTCTCTCTCTCACACACACACACACACACTCACACAAACGCACGGCTGCCAGGCACGTTGTCTCTCTCTCTCACACACACACAAACGCATAGCTGCCAGGCACGCTATCTCTCTCTCACACACACACAAACGCACGGCTGCCAGGCACGTTCTCTCTCTCTCTCTCTCTCACACACACACACACACGCACAGCTGCCAGGCACTTTGTCTCTCTCTCTCTCACACACACACACACAATGCACGGCTGCCAGGCACGTTGTCTCTCTCTCCCTCTCTCTCTCTCTC